TGTGAAAGAAAGTTTTGATTAATATTGAGTTGTTTTTTTATGAGCTCCACCTTAGCAAAACAGAAAAAAATAAAAATATGGGGGCCCACAGCATAGCTTCATAAGCCCCCTCAGACAACGGTGGGCCAGATATTTGGTTTTTACACTTTTGATTGGTAACCTCGATCCGGAACGGTTAAAAAGCTTGCCTCAGAAGTGAGCCTAGCCCAAAACATATGGGCCCAAAATCTGGACAACACGAAAAGAAACCCTAACCCTAGTGACCCCGAGCACGCCCTCCTTGCACGTGATAATCAGCTGACTACAAACGAATATGAAGCGCCGCAGGAAACCTTATAAACACAAAAGTACAAATTGGCTCACGAGGACCGTCCGATTTATGGCCACGTCACCTATCCGCGTGCACCCGCGTTTCAGCGGCTGAGATCACTGGTTGCAGAGCTACTGGTAGAGCGAACCAAGAAGCTCCTCTCTCGTCCCTCTCTCTCTCATCCAAATCCCAATTCGTTTTCCAGACAAAAACCAAGAGATTTTCTCTAGGAAGTTGTGTGAGGTTTGTTTAGAGATGAAGGTTATGGAGGAAGTTGTGGAGGAAAACGAAGTTAAGCCTTTGACTGCTGAACAATTGGAGCAGTATGAGTCGGAGTCTGAGTCTGAGTCAGATGACAGCCTAGGCGACGAAGAAGAGGATGGTGATGATGATGACGAGGACGACGACGACGACGATGTGGACGAAGACGACGACGACGACGACGATGAAGATGAGGACGATGACGACGATGTGCAGGAGGTCGTACAGTCCTCTGGAGGTCCTCCAGTTCAGTCGGTCGATGACGAAGACGATGAGGATGAAGACGATGAAGAAGGTGAAGGAGGTGACGATGATGATGACGGCGAGGGAGACGATGACGACGACGACGACGAGGGCGAGGCTGAAGAGGAGGTAATAAGCTCTAACTCTTTCTTATTTTCGTTTTTTCAAATTTTAAAAAATTATTATTTTTTCTTCTGGTTTTTTGTTTAAAATCATCAGATCTGGTATTTTTTGTATGTATTTTGTTCTGCTTATGTGAATAAATGTTATTTGATCTGATTTCGCCAGTAGCCTGCTCTTGAAATTTAATTTGAGGAATTGTTATTCTGTTTTTTTTCTTTCTCAATGTTAAAGTTGAAATTTCCTTTGTTTTCCCCTATTTTTTGGTAGTCTTTTTGTAGATTCCAAAGATTTTTCTCATCAGATCTGTTTTTCTGAATTTCTAGCAAACAATATTGGCCCTGTTTGTAGTCAATCGCTTCATGACTTTGGCAACAGGGAACTATGTATTATATTTGCGGTTCATTTGTAGTCCATAGTTATATGCTTTGCCTAAAAAAGACTAGACATTTAATTTAATTTCTGGTTTTCTTTTCTTTTTTATTTTCGGGAATAAATTGAATGGTAGTATTATCACAGATCTGGAAGCATTTCCATCTAGTTTATTATTTATGCATTTAATTTTTGAATTATCTCCTGTAAGAATCTCTCTCTGTTGCTATGATAGAGAAATCCTGCATCCAGATTCTCCTCCTTGCGTTTAATACTTTGGCCTGTGACTGATGGTTATGGCTAAGGTTTTGGACTTTTTGTTTTTTGCGTTAACCTTTCATTTTTTCTTTTCATGTCTCTTACAACTTTTGAAATTATCTTTATGAATTTGCTTTTCTCTGTTTCTTCTGTAAATTAGGCAGTTCGTTTATTGCGGCTTTTGTTGCTTTTACTTTTGGCTTGTTTAAATTGGGAAGCTCCTTGCAGCCCGTACCCTTTGTTGACTAAAATACTGATATATTTCAGTATTTTACCTCTGATTTCCTAAATTATATCTTTTTGTAAACTCTGCTTTCTGATAAGTTTTGCGGTAAAGGTCTAAGTTTTCAAAGAAATTAATCCCCAATCTGAGTTTGAAACTGACAGTCTGATGGAATTGACAGCTTGGTTAATTTGAAGAATATAAGTTTCAATTCTCCTTTGTTTGAGTGAAAATTTGTCTTTCACCTCCCACGTGGTTCATTTGTTCACTTGTTTGCCAGTACTATTTTTCATTTCATGATATGCATCTGTTTCTGTGCTTTTAATGTTACCTGCTGTCAGTTAGACTGTCGCTGACATCTTTTGAAACTATATAGGATGATATAGGAACGGAGTACCTCGTCCGGCCAGTAGGGCGTGCAGAGGATGAAGAAGATGCGAGCGATTTTGAGCCAGAAGAGAATGGAGAAGATGAAGATGTGGACGAAGAAGAAGATGAGGACGACGATGCGGGTGGGAAGGTGGAGGCTCCTCCAAAGAGAAAGAGATCATCAGACAAGGATGATTCAGATGGTGATGATGGTGGAGAGGATGATGAGAGACCCTCCAAGCGATAGGGCAGGGCCCCTTGTCCTTGGTTTGAGGACTGACCATTAACAAATAGGTCAATCTCTCTCCTCACTCACTCTCTTAAACTCATGTCCTGTTTGTAGAAAGAAAGAAGGATACGATGCGTCCTGAATTCTGTGCTAGCCTTTTTTTTTGGTTGCTGTAGTATCATTGTCATGGTGCAGTATATTTCTTAGGGTTTACAATATTTTGTTAATGCTTAGTTATGTCAGTCAGTGAATTGTGTGGTGGTGGTGGTGGTAGCGGTAGTAGTAGGGCATTTGAAAGAGGTGGTTTTAGAAGTTATGTAAGTTTAAGGAACTCGGTTAAGGCTTGTAGCTTTAAATACTCTCTCTCCCTCGCTCTCTCATTTGCTAGGTTGTTCATTTGCAGATTTCCTTAGGTAGGACCTCCTTCCTTTTGCTCTTAATTTTTGGTTGATTGAATTGAAACTTGGAAGGTTTGGTAAAATCTTATCTCTTGATCTATTATGGAAGAAGCATCAATCCGCATCTTCCCATTATCTATTAATATTTTCCGTTTTATTTTATCGTATTTATTTGCTGGGTTTAGTAGTTGGTAGCTTTTTGGTAGAGGTTCGAAATTCTTATGCACTCAATGAATATTTGTGTAAATTCACCTCCTTCAATCGATTGCACTAAAAAAAATATTTTCTTTGGGTCGGAAACTTCAAAAAAGTTACTGGGAAATAATAATTGAAAATTATATAAAACCCAACGAATTGGGATGGTGCAATTGAGTGAAAGAGACGAAAGCCTTTAGAAAAAACAAAAAGCAATAGGTTAATAAATGAATGATGGGCCGACGATTATGAGTGTTAAGTGTATGTTGCTATCAGTCAGCTATTTTTTATTTCTTGAGAAAATAACTGGAACGTGGAAAAGGGTATTGACTTGTAGATAAGTAGTCTCAAGTTTGAATTTTTATAGCATCTTGGTGTGTATGTGCGAGAGAAATTTCTCTCCCCCTACTCATGTTAAAGTTTAATTCACTCAAGTTTTCTTTTTCGTTTTATTCAAGTTTGGTTTAGACTTAAATTTGTGTCAATGAATAATTAGTGATGATATGACCCATTTTTATTTAGGTCTCGTCAAAGCAGATGGGTAGTCGGGGAGTGATGGGACGACACTGATAATGAATAACAGGAACAAAAATGGACTACATTTAGAGCTATGGACGCGTTGGGCCTGGTCTTAAAGTATATCATTTGGTCGGATACGAAAATTTGACGCAAGCTCCTCAATTCAAAGTCTGCCGACAACAATTTTATCGGGCCATCCTTTTCCACGGAAAAAAGGATCTAAAAAGAAGGCAAATTATATATAAAAATATCCAAAGGTGGCAAACGCATGAGAAAAATTTAGTTAAAATGGAATAACACTGTTTTGCTATCTTTATTCAACAATATCATGCCACATAGAAGTGTTATTATCACGCTTGTCATAACATTATTAGTCGGGAATAACAAAATAGTGTTATTTCTGTGACATGGAAGTTTTTCTCCAAATACATAGTGCTTACACTGTCTCCAATGGAAAATGTTGATGAGTAAGTGTGTGTTAAAAGTGAATTCTATGTATTTTAATGTGTTCGAAATGAATTTTGATTTATGTAAAGTTTTACTTTAAGTTAAATCCATTTGTACTTGTTGTATTGACCTGTTTTTGAAATAATTACTGATTGATGGGTTTCTTATTATGCAATCAAACATGCGTTTTATAATTGGAGTAGTAGTTTAACGAATAAAATTTTGATAAAACAAAGACTTCGCCTTTGTAATAGCATTTGGTATAGGTGGTTATTATTTATGGTAATAATTCCAAAACATTATAATAGAAATGAAAATATTTTTGCTTGTCACTTTAACTCAAGGTATATATTTATCACTTTTTTTTAATACTTGGCATGTGTTCAAAATTGAAAACATTTTTTATAGGCAATATAGTTCGATACCAACCCCATTCACTTAGGTAATATGGTTCGATACCTACTCCATTCACTTGTTTGAAGTGTCAATCTCAATCTTTAAAAAACAATATCCCCAAAGTTGGAAGTTAGATGTGACAAATTTGGTGTTCTATCTCCCTCCATTTATAATTAGGCATTGAAATTTACCCCACTTTACCTTAACAAGAAGATAAGAAAATAGCCAACGGTCTAGCGAGTGGAAATAACTTTTACTTGCAAATGTTTTCGTATTCAAATCCTCATATACTTTGACTGTGTGAGAAAACCTCATCGCCTAATATCGATTGTATGCATTAAAAAAAATTGGAATTTTTTTTGGAAAACATGGACATGTTAATGTGTGGGTGTCAGAACCCACTCAATACTCACAAGTAAGAACCGTGGATCCACATCCACACCGTCCGATCAGAATCCTACGCCTCACAAACGAAGGGCCCTAACTCTATCTATCCCCATACCATAAAAAGAGAAATTAAGGAAACGATTTAATTTAAATAATAGTTAGATTAGAAGAAATGGCGCTATCCCAAGAAAATAAACGAAGTAAAACAAACAACAACATCTTTCATTCAAAGAAAAAAAAAGAAAAA